CAAAGTTTAGGATATTTCCTACCTCTTGTAAATTTTCAATGTTCCCTTTGGAATTTGAAAATACAGAGTGGGCAATATCTGTTTAAATGATATTTAAATGAAGAGGAATCCAGGTAAGTATTATGAGGTAAGTAAAATTAAGGTAAGTAAAAAATTATCTTGAACTTTCAAACATATAAAATAATTGAATTTCTGTTTACGAAATTTCTGTAACTATATTCTTGAAAAATGACATATTAATGAGCTCTGTCGGTGAGCGACTTCCTTTCGTGTTATATTTCCCTAATACAAAATCGCAAAATTGGTAGAAAAGTTCACGCCGAAGCTGTAACAGCATTGTCCCAAACATTCTTGGAAATGACGTCATTTTTCGGAAGTGGGACGGCGAGCGACTTCCTATCATGTTATGTTATCCTGGTACAAAGTCGCGAAATCGGCGAGAAATTTCACGTCAAAGCTACAAGAGTATTGTCCTGAGAATTCTTGGAAATGACGTCATTTCTCGGAAGTGGCACGGCGAGCGACTTCCTATCATGTTATGTTATCCTGGTACAAAGTGGCAAAATCGTCGAAAAATTTCACACCGAAGCTACAAAAGTATTGTCCCGAGAATTCTTGGAAATGACGTCACTTCTTGGAACTGTCTTGGTGAGCGATCTCCTTTCGTGTTATGTTTTCCTGATACAAAATCGCGAAATCGGCCAAAACTTTTTCTTCCAGGCCGCAAAAGAATTGTCCACTGAAGCGGCAAAAGTACTGACCACCGAGGCGGCAATAGTATTGACCACCGAAGTGGCAAAAGTATTGACCACCGAAGCGGCAAAAGTATTGTCCGCGGTGGCGGGGAAATTATTGTCCATCGAAGCGGGAAAAGTATTGACCAAAAACGGCAAAAATATTGTCCTCTGAATTCTCAGAAATGACGTCATTTCTTGGAACTGTCTCGGCCAGCGACCTCCTCGTCTATTCTGTGTTCCTGTTACTTTATTGAGTTTCGCGACCAAAATCATAGAGGGCGTTGATCGCTAGTCTCTCTCATTGTCGGTACTGGAGCCAATGAGAAAGATTTGCGATCAGTGCCATCTGTGATTTTTTACTCGAAGCTCGAGAAAGTAAAAACTTCCAGCCAAAATTCGTAGATGGCGCTGATGAGTGTCGCTTCATCTTCTATCATTGAAGGTATTAGCGCGGTATACGGGTTGCATTAGGGGCATATTTAGATTACTTTTGAACAGAGAAATTACAGGTTTCTTTTTTTATTTATGTAGCTGTACGTTAAAGATAATACAAAATAAATTTGACATACCACTCACGACGTAAGACACGAAATATAATAAAGTGTCAGTAGCTTCGCTTCAACTTCTCTACTTCTTTTATCTCACGACAAGGGTAGATGTTCGGCGTGAAACTCGCGAATGTCCGAGCACAGTTACTTTATTTGAAGGGTTTCATATTGCATATTAAATAAGCAAACGTAGTTGCATGTATTATCTCCATCATAGACTGTCGTTATCTGCGATAAATGTAAATAAACGTAACGGCTAAGTGTCAAGGATATAACTATCGCGATTGCTATGTGGACAAGGGTCACGGTTGAAAAATTACATTTCACGTTCGAAACTTAAAATTGTGAACTTGGAACGGAAAAATTTCATTGCATAGGTCTCTTTTCTAGTGCCTCCAATTAATCTCCCTTTTAATTACAGAGATTCGTTTCACGATGCATGTAACGAAAGTTAGCTTTAAACTTCTCATTCCGTTTGTTTGGGCGAATAGCGAAAGCGATAAAAATGATTGCACTGTAAAAGTTGGAATTTAACGGGACATTTGTTTTCATTTAATCGCAACGTTACCGCGGTTTCTACTGATTAACCCGGTGCAATATCACACCAAAGCCGTGACATTCGATTATCGAACAGAGCCTCATCCTTGCGTGACTCAGACACACCATAATCTTTTTCGCTAATCAATAGACCGACCTAATTTCGTTTAGTAATATTCCGTGTACTTTATCAATTCATCCGCTTAATTTCATTCGTGATGAATTTTTTACGCTGCCTTGTAGGAATTAAATGAATTTTATGTTTCCGTTTTCATTAACTGCCTCGGGGAAATTCGTTCAATAATTCACCTATAATTCATATCGACACGTGTGCACATATGCGTAACAAATTTGCTTTAATTAACGAGGGTTCGATATAAATAAAATACGCTTTGATCTTTGAAAATGAATATTTTCGTCGTTTAATTCGATCGATAAATTACGAATGGGAGAAGAAAGAGCGGAAGACGGTAAGATATCGAGGGGAGAACGCGAACGAAATTTTCTGCAACTCTGTTTTAACACGTTAACCACTTGCGCTATAAAGACGTGCCACGCACGTCGAGATGCTTTTGGTCCAAAGTCGCCAGCGACGTGTATACCACGTCGATAGGCATTTGTCGCAGAAACAAAAACGACGTGTCCGTCACGTCGGCTAACAGTTAGCTCGCAGACGCGGTGCGATGTCAATGTAACGCTTTACCGCATGTTATATTGTAGAACGCGGCACGGCAACCGAAAGTTAAATCGTAGCGCAAGTGGTTAAACGTCACACCGGTCGCTAGGGCCCGACGCTAGACTTTCCGGCCCGGAAGGGCCCGCATGACGGCTAACTATGGCGTGAACGGAACGGCGCGTAAAATCAACATGGCGTTTAACGCGTTAACATTCGAACTTACCTGCAGTGGCTCAGTGACGCTCGCGTTCCAAAATCCACTGTCCACGGTATCCAAAACAAGCCCATCCTTTATGTCCACCAGATGAATGGACATCTCGAATTTAGCGTGATGCTCGCCGTTCTTTGACCCCCACTTAATTCCCGCATACGTCGGAGTCATGTTCTTATACGCCATCTTTAATTTATCGAAGAAGTTCAGCTTCCTCACCGGAGTATTAGTGTTATTGTACTCGTTACAGGTGATGTGCTTGGGCCTGATCGGCCATTCCCCGTCGTCCAGGGCCAATTTCATCGCTTTAATACCCAGGTGTAGCAAATCGTAATAAAAGGCGGAAGAAATAAACGGTTTTGACAAAGAAGATTCCAACGTGGGATTTCTCTGATTAATTTCCGGCTTCATGAAGAGGACGCTCATATTTCTGCACTTGCATCTCGGCCAAATATTGACTTCGGGAGTCAATAAAAACCAGCCGTACTTTTTACCAGTGAAATTCAAGCCTTCGGCAGCCTCCAGGGCTATATTAATGGTACTCTCGTCACCGAGAATGAAGTAATTGACGATGTCCAAGTCGCGTAACCGAAGCAATTGCTTCGTCATTTCGGTTACCTGTTGGGAGGCCTCGTTGATGACGTGCCGGGTGGGCACGTTCAACAGCAGACTCTTGTATTTGTGATCCATGATGAAATTATGGTCGTAGAGAATCGCAGCGTTTGTAATGTTCAATTGGACGCACAAGTGTCTAATTACTTCCGGTATTAAATCCGCCGGGGGCATCACCTGGATTAGATAGCCTTGCTGATCGGCGTTTAGGTTCCTCCAATAGAGGAGGTCCCCTTCCTGGCCATATTGCGCGGATAGCGTGGGAACTCCAACAGCCGCTGTGAACGAATTGGATATCTTGGCTCCTAAACCGGCAGTCGTTGTGTCTATCACTAAATCCGGAACATTGCTGTCACCCTTTTCCACGGCGGAGTTCCAGGAATTGCAAATATGATCCAGGGTGTCGTTTATGTCGGATTCGTTGATTTCAATGCTCCACACCTTACCCAAGTGATTAGGATAATTTTCCTCGACCCTCTTCAAGGCGCTTAGTATGCTGCTGTTCGCTACTTTGTTGGAATCATCGTTGATAATGACTACAAGAGAAATGGTGAAACGGGAGATCAGGATAATTAAAAGCTGTTGAAATTTATGTAGGAATGCTAGGAGGTTTGAGAGTGAATGCAAGGGAACACTTGGAACTTGGACTACCTAGCTGATGATGGATAATAGACAGCAGCCTAGGATTAAGGCCAAATGTTTAGAGTGACGTTTGGAGTGCACAAGGAAGGACGAGTGATCGCGTGCAAGGATCAAATAAACAGGTTATTTATGACAATATCGAATGCAAGTGAAGAGCAAAAGGCGTCTGAGACTTTAGGGTACGTGATCCATCGAGAGTGAGGCTATGAGAAATACGCGATTGAGAAACAGAGCATGAGTATGAAAGAAGACAGAATGCGAGGTTTAAATGAGAGTGCAAGGGTTGACCTAGGGCAGACCTTTACGAAATTTGAAGAAGAGATCATAGTTCAGTTATTAGTCTAGTCTTTAATTTATACTTTGCTCCTAAGTCTCTTTTACCTCGTAATAAAACATATATTCGAATAAATCAACATCTATTATTCCCTATTGCTGGAGAGTTCTAATCTCCCGCGCCATGTTGCTAAACGCTTCTAGCGACATCTGGCATTTTCATTCAAATAAAACCTAACGGTGGAAGTCACTTCCAAAGCTACCGTAAAGAAAGCACGTATAATTATTCTGACTGTGAAACATTATCCCAGTAAAACATAACCCATCCACTGTATTAAACGATACAGTCTATATTTACCAATCAAAAGTATTCCTACATTTATTAACCGTCTTAACCCTTTCGCTTCGAGCGCCGCTTATAGGTGGCGTCCACGAGATGACTCCTGGGTACAGGCAACCCATGCATCCGGCACCCAAATGACGCGTATACAAGTGCAATCTGTATACGTTTGCTTTATTCAGCATAGTTGTTATTTAAGACTTAGGAAAACGTACAGAAATAGGCAGAAATCACACGCACTGTGCATATTTCTGGCGCGCGCTTCCGTTCAGTGACGGTACTTCAACGGACTAAACTGCCGAAGCGAAAGGATTAAAATCTACCACTCGACTTTCCAAATTTAAAAACGAAAAATAACTTTGCATTTGAAATATTTGTGGCAGTGCTTGTCATAGAATATGTGTGCGCCGAGTATGACAGAGTCGCGAAAAGACAATCAGTAGCTGAATGACAGTCATTACATATAGACGTCGTGTGTGAGAGAGTCCCCGAGAGAAAATATCGCAGTTAGAAGCGAATCTATTTTTCGAGATTTAGTTATAATTTAAGTTGTGCTGTTATCGTGTTTAATAAATCTTCTTACTAGTTTATCCATTTACTCGCAATGTTGAAATTTGCAAGCTCGAATTTGAAATTTGAAATTGAACGGTTAAATTACTCACAAAGATTGACAGGCCTGGTCTTCGAAGATTCCTCATCGCTCGAGCCCTGTCCGTAAACTGTACATCTGCAGCAAAGTCCGAGGAGAACGCACACTGCAACCGTAAATCTCGCGATCCTCATTCCGGGCACTACAACCAATTCCAATGGTCGTTAACTTTTTTCACTTTTCAATTTTCAGGAAAATCCGTGCGAGTCGTTCTTCTTTTTCACACCTGCAGCTCCTGCTCTGCGAAACTTCCTCGAGGATATTTCTTTCCGTTCAGATGGGAGACTGCAACGTCGAAATCGTGGATAATTTTCAAACGATAAGTAATTGGCTGGTGCTGGAGCTCGTTTCGATCGCGTACGCGATGCGTCTCGAGGTCGGGATATCGCGTGCGGAAATCGGTCAAGTAACTGAGGGTGGTCTCGAAACTGAAAGCCAGCTTTCAATTGTGTTTGTCCATCGGTTGCCGCGGGGATGACCTAATCAATTCTTCCTATCAACGCAACGTGACTCTTCTCTCCCTTTCCCCTTATTTTTCCTCCAAAATTCCCGATCGACGGTCATCTTGCACCGACAGGTGAAGAGCAACCGGCGCTAGTGTCGTTAAGTCACTGCGAAGAATTTGCATGTTGCGCGTCGCGTGCCGCGAGATCCTCTTATCTCGTAATTGACCAAGCAATCGTTAGTTCTCTCTCGTCACGAGTACGCTGAAATACGTGCTGTTTAAAACTTTCGTTCCGTCCCGATATCGATATCCTCGTGACGCGCCATCGTGAGAATTTGCGACGTACCTGTCTCCATTTTTGCAAGGAAAAGTTTTTCTTCTTGCACCTCTTCCAAAAATCGAGAAATTAATTTGACGTCTCTTTATTTCATATTTAATTATTCCTGCCTTTCTATTTCCACGATGGAGGTCTATTTGCAGCACCTGTTTGCGGAATACGCGTTGTTTAAAATTTTCCTTCAGTCCCGATATCGATATCTTCGTGACGCGTCATCGTGAGAATTTGCGACGTACCTTTCTCCATTTTTGCAAGGAAAAGATTTTCTTCTTGCACCTCTTCCAAAAATTGAGAAATTAATTTGACGTCTCTTTATTTGATATTTAATTATCCCTGCCTTTCTATTTCCACGATGGAGGTCTATTTTCAGCACCTGTTTGCGGAATACGCGTTGTTTAAAATTTTCCTTCAGTCCCGATATCGATATCTTCGTGACGCGCCATCGTGAGAATTTGCGACGCACCTTTTTGCAAATTTGCAAGAAAAAAATTTTCTTCTTGCACCTCTTCCAAAAATTGAGAAATTAATTTGACGTCTCTTTATTTTATATCTAATTATCCCTGTCTCTACTACCATGGAGGTCTATTTTCAGCACCTGTTTGCTTAGGCAGGAGCTCTTCTCCTCCAATAGGATCGTGTTCCACGAGACACTGGATCAGAGAAAGAGATAGTCGAGGATTAGCTAATTGCCGTGGATGTCAACCGAAAATCTCAGGGTTTTAAGCTTCATCCCTGGGTTATGTCGCGACATGATAGCGGAGCTGATGGACAAACAGTGGCGCTGAAAGGAAACAACGATTTTGCTTCGTTTAACATTCGCCTTTCTCCGTTGTTCTTCTCTACGCCGTTTCGAGAGTTGTATATATTTTGACACACGCGCAGAAGTTACACAGGCTCATAGAAAACGTGTACATGGTGCTGTTGTTGTTGGAACAAAAATTGCTACTTTCTGTCTTTTATTTCCTGTTTACAAATGCTTCCTTCGTTCTCCATTTATTTCTACGAGAGAACCGCGTTTTCACGAAGAGACGTACTTTTTTCATTCTTGCGTGTAGCTGATAGCAGTACCAGGAATATTGAAGGCCGAGTATGAGGGCTGCGAGCGATATACCGAGGAGAATCAACAGGAATATAACAGCCAAATTGTCTAGGTCGAAGCCCGCGTTAAGGTCATTATCGGCCGGGCAATTCGCTCTCAAAGGACTTTCGTCCCACCATTTCTTCTCCAGAACACTTAATCTCCGTTCCATTGCCAGATGGGTAATCCTTTAATCAAACATTAATCGTTTCGCGTTAGGTCGAGCAGTAAAAGGCTTCGCGTATGACGGACGAATTAACCCTTTGCACTCGAGAGGTGAGCCTAAGTCACCGTTTAATCAAATTTGCAAGATCGATATTAATCAATATATCAAATTTAATGTAACGTAATAGTATGCGAGGTATCAAAATCGAATTTGGGCAACTTTCACCGCTGCCCATTGTCTTCCGGCGGGAGAAAGCTCTTCCTTGGAATTCTAGGAAAGCCTCGCCAAGGTCCAAGGACAATAGTCACAGATGGGGATGCTAGACGCCAAGCTGGGACGTCTGGACTGGCTATGGACACGCGAAGACAAGGCGACAGAGAAGAGACACGCTCTATAAAACAATAAGGGATGCGTTTTTGGGGCACTATCCGACCCCCATACGGAGAATAAAGAAGTTACTCAGAAGCAAAGAGCATAGTTTCACTGAAATCCTTTCCTACAGAAATAATACTAAAATTCTATCATTATACAATTCTTTACTTATTGCTCTAAAAAGTATCGTCAGTTTTTTAGTGAATCTTCGATTCTCTACTCTTCTCTAGTCAAAAAATCGTCGAGTGCAAAGGGTTAACCCTTTGAGTCACGGTTTAATCAAATTCCTTCACTTGACCTGGGACATTGCGGTCCTAGGGCCGCAGCAATGTGGGAGTTTACAAAGCAACGCAACTAACGCAACTGAGCAACGTATCAAAAAGCCTGAAAATAGGCTATCGGTCGGTAAGCATCGGCGACCAAAAGCCGATTAATAGGCTTCCGGTCGGTAAAGTGTTAACATATCAAACCTAAACTAACCTAAAATTGCATGGAATGTCGAAATAAAATAATTTTAAGTCTTAATTTATTCCGATTCCTTATTTACCGTTTTAAAAGTATCCTCTACGTTGCAGCAGAATGTCTTTGAATTGCTATTTCTCTGTAACCAAACTAATCACCGAGTACAAAGGGTTAATAGCAGCCATTTTATTCTTTTTATTCTTCACCAAGATTTCATTATATCGTCGTATCAGAATCGTTTTGTAGGGGTTTGTAATTCCGAGAGCTTCGGTTTGACAGCGATAAAATGATATTTAATCGAATTTGGAATAATGCCTGTTTGGGAAGAATATTTATCTTGGTGCATCGACGTGCAATTAGCGCGGACGATTTTCCGCAGAGTCAGTTCTAATTGGTGCGAACAGCAGCGGATTATCTAGACGCTTATGCGAATGATACAGCGAATATGTGGCGACAGCCGGTATCAATCACCACCTGATGACTAAGGGACAAAATCCAAGAGACTATACTCCTTCGCAATTGTTGAATTAGAAGGAGCTGGCTAAAACGTGGGCAAAATAAAACTGGTCGTATCGCAACAGGGGTTAAAGGCTTTATTTTAGAGACACTCGAGGGAGCACTTTCGACCGGGTACGTCTATTCTCGACAACTGACCTAGGATCTTTTTGGACTGTCTTCGACAGTTGGAAAACTCTCCCACTGCATGTAGACCCTTTCAGGCCCCGTCGAAAATTACCTGGGTCTACTCCAACATCTACCAAAATAAGATAACAAACTTGTAAAAGACCAGACCGAATTCAGAATAAAGAGTCTATCTTCAAACCTCATTTACGTCTTTTCTCTTACGATACACCTTGTCTATGGACAACGATATCGTGTAGTATACTTATTCGGCATAATTCGATCATTATAGATAGATTCATTATTATACTTTTACCAACGATATTTATTTATTTATTTATGTTGAAAATAAGATACGTTTTAACGTATATACAAATATCAATCTCTTAGGAAAAATAGATATACCCTTAACACTAGATTTACGAACCCGTTAATTTGATGGATAGGTTGCTCCAATTATACGATGGTGATAGATTTAGTTAACTTATATTAACCCTCTGCACTCGAGAGGTGACTCTCAGTCACCATTTAATCAAATTCTAAAGATCGGTGTTAATTAATATACCAAATTTAAAATTAGCCAACGATGCGTGGAATGTCGAAATAAAATAATTCTACTTATTCATTTGCATACGATTTCTTATTTACCGTTTTAAAAATATCCTAGAATTTATGACAGAAAGTCTTCGAATTACTATTTTCCTATAACGAAAAAATCGTAAAGGGTTAAGACTGTTAATATAATACATAATTACTTTTAAATTAAACTAATCGTTAAAAAAAAGGCACGAGGCTTTCTTTACCTGACAATTTCACAGGAGTCCGTAGAAATAGGTATAGAAATAGATAGCGTCCGTAAACCTAATGTTAAACTATGTTCAGGAATTAGATAAGAATTAGAGAACCAGGACGAGCTGCAATCGCATATCCTTTTTCTTCATTCTAGTTTTGACTCTGCATGCGAACAGTCACAATACATTTGATATACCTTCCTTAAGATAGAATAAAGATAGTTATTTCTTTTTACCCATAATCTCAATAATTTATTTATTTAATAATAATTTACGAGTAGTAAAACCCATTAGTGTATGAACAAAAAGTAAAAATCCATCAGTTTGTTAGAGAGAGAAAGAATATAGGTCAAGAAAGAATATAGTACAAATGACGATATAGCAGACTAAACTGCCGAAGCGAAAGGATTAAAATCTACCACTCGACTTTCCAAATTTAAAAACGAAAAATAACTTTGCATTTGAAATATTTGTGGCAGTGCTTGTCATAGAATATGTGTGCGCCGAGTATGACAGAGTCGCGAAAAGACAATCAGTAGCTGAATGACAGTCATTACATATAGACGTCGTGTGTGAGAGAGTCCCCGAGAGAAAATATCGCAGTTAGAAGCGAATCTATTTTTCGAGATTTAGTTATAATTTAAGTTGTGCTGTTATCGTGTTTAATAAATCTTCTTACTAGTTTATCCATTTACTCGCAATGTTGAAATTTGCAAGCTCGAATTTGAAATTTGAAATTGAACGGTTAAATTACTCACAAAGATTGACAGGCCTGGTCTTCGAAGATTCCTCATCGCTCGAGCCCTGTCCGTAAACTGTACATCTGCAGCAAAGTCCGAGGAGAACGCACACTGCAACCGTAAATCTCGCGATCCTCATTCCGGGCACTACAACCAATTCCAATGGTCGTTAACTTTTTTCACTTTTCAATTTTCAGGAAAATCCGTGCGAGTCGTTCTTCTTTTTCACACCTGCAGCTCCTGCTCTGCGAAACTTCCTCGAGGATATTTCTTTCCGTTCAGATGGGAGACTGCAACGTCGAAATCGTGGATAATTTTCAAACGATAAGTAATTGGCTGGTGCTGGAGCTCGTTTCGATCGCGTACGCGATGCGTCTCGAGGTCGGGATATCGCGTGCGGAAATCGGTCAAGTAACTGAGGGTGGTCTCGAAACTGAAAGCCAGCTTTCAATTGTGTTTGTCCATCGGTTGCCGCGGGGATGACCTAATCAATTCTTCCTATCAACGCAACGTGACTCTTCTCTCCCTTTCCCCTTATTTTTCCTCCAAAATTCCCGATCGACGGTCATCTTGCACCGACAGGTGAAGAGCAACCGGCGCTAGTGTCGTTAAGTCACTGCGAAGAATTTGCATGTTGCGCGTCGCGTGCCGCGAGATCCTCTTATCTCGTAATTGACCAAGCAATCGTTAGTTCTCTCTCGTCACGAGTACGCTGAAATACGTGCTGTTTAAAACTTTCGTTCCGTCCCGATATCGATATCCTCGTGACGCGCCATCGTGAGAATTTGCGACGTACCTGTCTCCATTTTTGCAAGGAAAAGTTTTTCTTCTTGCACCTCTTCCAAAAATCGAGAAATTAATTTGACGTCTCTTTATTTCATATTTAATTATTCCTGCCTTTCTATTTCCACGATGGAGGTCTATTTGCAGCACCTGTTTGCGGAATACGCGTTGTTTAAAATTTTCCTTCAGTCCCGATATCGATATCTTCGTGACGCGTCATCGTGAGAATTTGCGACGTACCTTTCTCCATTTTTGCAAGGAAAAGATTTTCTTCTTGCACCTCTTCCAAAAATTGAGAAATTAATTTGACGTCTCTTTATTTGATATTTAATTATCCCTGCCTTTCTATTTCCACGATGGAGGTCTATTTTCAGCACCTGTTTGCGGAATACGCGTTGTTTAAAATTTTCCTTCAGTCCCGATATCGATATCTTCGTGACGCGCCATCGTGAGAATTTGCGACGCACCTTTTTGCAAATTTGCAAGAAAAAAATTTTCTTCTTGCACCTCTTCCAAAAATTGAGAAATTAATTTGACGTCTCTTTATTTTATATCTAATTATCCCTGTCTCTACTACCATGGAGGTCTATTTTCAGCACCTGTTTGCTTAGGCAGGAGCTCTTCTCCTCCAATAGGATCGTGTTCCACGAGACACTGGATCAGAGAAAGAGATAGTCGAGGATTAGCTAATTGCCGTGGATGTCAACCGAAAATCTCAGGGTTTTAAGCTTCATCCCTGGGTTATGTCGCGACATGATAGCGGAGCTGATGGACAAACAGTGGCGCTGAAAGGAAACAACGATTTTGCTTCGTTTAACATTCGCCTTTCTCCGTTGTTCTTCTCTACGCCGTTTCGAGAGTTGTATATATTTTGACACACGCGCAGAAGTTACACAGGCTCATAGAAAACGTGTACATGGTGCTGTTGTTGTTGGAACAAAAATTGCTACTTTCTGTCTTTTATTTCCTGTTTACAAATGCTTCCTTCGTTCTCCATTTATTTCTACGAGAGAACCGCGTTTTCACGAAGAGACGTACTTTTTTCATTCTTGCGTGTAGCTGATAGCAGTACCAGGAATATTGAAGGCCGAGTATGAGGGCTGCGAGCGATATACCGAGGAGAATCAACAGGAATATAACAGCCAAATTGTCTAGGTCGAAGCCCGCGTTAAGGTCATTATCGGCCGGGCAATTCGCTCTCAAAGGACTTTCGTCCCACCATTTCTTCTCCAGAACACTTAATCTCCGTTCCATTGCCAGATGGGTAATCCTTTAATCAAACATTAATCGTTTCGCGTTAGGTCGAGCAGTAAAAGGCTTCGCGTATGACGGACGAATTAACCCTTTGCACTCGAGAGGTGAGCCTAAGTCACCGTTTAATCAAATTTGCAAGATCGATATTAATCAATATATCAAATTTAATGTAACGTAATAGTATGCGAGGTATCAAAATCGAATTTGGGCAACTTTCACCGCTGCCCATTGTCTTCCGGCGGGAGAAAGCTCTTCCTTGGAATTCTAGGAAAGCCTCGCCAAGGTCCAAGGACAATAGCCACAGATGGGGATGCTAGACGCCAAACTGGGACGTCTGGACTGGCTATGGACAAGCGAAGACAAGGCGACAGAGAAGAGACACGCTCTATAAAACAATAAGGGATGCGTTTTTGGGGCACTATCCGACCCCCATACGGAGAATAAAGAAGTTACTCAGAAGCAAAGAGCATAGTTTCACTGAAATCCTTTCCTACAGAAATAATACTAAAATTCTATCATTATACAATTCTTTACTTATTGCTCTAAAAAGTATCGTCAGTTTTTTAGTGAATCTTCGATTCTCTACTCTTCTCTAGTCAAAAAATCGTCGAGTGCAAAGGGTTAACCCTTTGAGTCACGGTTTAATCAAATTCCTTCACTTGACCTGGGACATTGCGGTCCTAGGGCCGCAGCAATGTGGGAGTTTACAAAGCAACGCAACTAACGCAACTGAGCAACGTATCAAAAAGCCTGAAAATAGGCTATCGGTCGGTAAGCATCGGCGACCAAAAGCCGATTAATAGGCTTCCGGTCGGTAAAGTGTTAACATATCAAACCTAAACTAACCTAAAATTGCATGGAATGTCGAAATAAAATAATTTTAAGTCTTAATTTATTCCGATTCCTTATTTACCGTTTTAAAAGTATCCTCTACGTTGCAGCAGAATGTCTTTGAATTGCTATTTCTCTGTAACCAAACTAATCACCGAGTACAAAGGGTTAATAGCAGCCATTTTATTCTTTTTATTCTTCACCAAGATTTCATTATATCGTCGTATCAGAATCGTTTTGTAGGGGTTTGTAATTCCGAGAGCTTCGGTTTGACAGCGATAAAATGATATTTAATCGAATTTGGAATAATGCCTGTTTGGGAAGAATATTTATCTTGGTGCATCGACGTGCAATTAGCGCGGACGATTTTCCGCAGAGTCAGTTCTAATTGGTGCGAACAGCAGCGGATTATCCAGACGCTTATGCGAATGATACAGCGAATATGTGGCGACAGCCGGTATCAATCACCACCTGATGACTAAGGGACAAAATCCAAGAGACTATACTCCTTCGCAATTGTTGAATTAGAAGGAGCTGGCTAAAACGTGGGCAAAATAAAACTGGTCGTATCGCAACAGGGGTTAAAGGCTTTATTTTAGAGACACTCGAGGGAGCACTTTCGACCGGGTACGTCTATTCTCGACAACTGACCTAGGATCTTTTTGGACTGTCTTCGACAGTTGGAAAACTCTCCCACTGCATGTAGACCCTTTCAGGCCCCGTCGAAAATTACCTGGGTCTACTCCAACATCTACCAAAATAAGATAACAAACTTGTAAAAGACCAGACCGAATTCAGAATAAAGAGTCTATCTTCAAACCTCATTTACGTCTTTTCTCTTACGATACACCTTGTCTATGGACAACGATATCGTGTAGTATACTTATTCGGCATAATTCGATCATTATAGATAGATTCATTATTATACTTTTACCAACGATATTTATTTATTTATTTATGTTGAAAATAAGATACGTTTTAACGTATATACAAATATCAATCTCTTAGGAAAAATAGATATACCCTTAACACTAGATTTACGAACCCGTTAATTTGATGGATAGGTTGCTCCAATTATACGATGGTGATAGATTTAGTTAACTTATATTAACCCTCTGCACTCGAGAGGTGACTCTCAGTCACCATTTAATCAAATTCTAAAGATCGGTGTTAATTAATATACCAAATTTAAAATTAGCCAACGATGCGTGGAATGTCGAAATAAAATAATTCTACTTATTCATTTGCATACGATTTCTTATTTACCGTTTTAAAAATATCCTAGAATTTATGACAGAAAGTCTTCGAATTACTATTTTCCTATAACGAAAAAATCGTAAAGGGTTAAGACTGTTAATATAATACATAATTACTTTTAAATTAAACTAATCGTTAAAAAAAAGGCACGAGGCTTTCTTTACCTGACAATTTCACAGGAGTCCGTAGAAATAGGTATAGAAATAGATAGCGTCCGTAAACCTAATGTTAAACTATGTTCAGGAATTAGATAAGAATTAGAGAACCAGGACGAGCTGCAATCGCATATCCTTTTTCTTCATTCTAGTTTTGACTCTGCATGCGAACAGTCACAATACATTTGATATACCTTCCTTAAGATAGAATAAAGATAGTTATTTCTTTTTACCCATAATCTCAATAATTTATTTATTTAATAATAATTTACGAGTAGTAAAACCCATTAGTGTATGAACAAAAAGTAAAAATCCATCAGTTTGTTAGAGAGAGAAAGAATATAGGTCAAGAAAGAATATAGTACAAATGACGATATAGCTGATATAAACAATTTTCTTAGAGATTTAAGATCTGGTTTTTAAACGAAGAGATACTATTGCCAAAAATTTGGAGGTTTGACGAGAAATCGTTTACAAGAATGCATATTCTATCGATAGGGTCTGCTGATTCAAGTCGTGCAATATTATGCTGGTCAAATCATAAAGATTTGGAAGCCTCTTCAATTTTTTGAAGGAACAAGAAAATTAATAAAAGATAATAATTTTGGACTGCGTATAATAGCGTTTATAATTTTGAGGAGAAACAAAAGGTCGGCAGCAATTCTATTGGAACCAGGTGCACTTAGAACCAGAAATAACTCCGACAAAGAAGGTTCTTCGACATTCTTTACTTTTATTTTATATCGTCGCGTATACTCGTGACAAATAGATCCACTGGATGGTACTCACGCGTCGTCGAGTTTCCTTTTTAGCGGAGAATCCTTCCGGACCGCGAAAGCGAATGGTTTCTTTCCAAACTCCTGACCAACCTGTCTCAAGTCACAGTTCGTCAGCATCAGGTATTTTACGGTCGTAGCTTCCGTTATAAAAGCGAACTCGAAAGTGCTGTTCGCTTTCCTGACCAGCTTCACCGCTTCCTCCACGCTGGAAGGGAAGCCAGCGTCTTTCATCGCGAAATACATCTTCGTGAACTTGTCCTCCAATGGATAATCCCACACGGCGTACTCGGATCTGAACCGTTCCGGCGTATTCTCGTCCAACGTCAATCGTCTCCAATTCCTATTTATAAGAGGAAAAAGAATTACAGTGTACCTTCCACAACGGCGTATCGCGTAAAACTGACTGTATCACGCGTATTTACATTTCGCTTCGTATCGCGGCTGTTCTCGAGCATCAGTCTGGTCTGTTTACCTCGCGTTGACGCCTACCGTTCGGACCCGGATTTCGTCGAGCTAAATAGCACGGGAAAGGGTTAACCGTTTGAGTCCCAAGCAGCGCGATGTTTAGATTTTATGTCGAGAAAACCTAGCACATTTCGAGCGTTCTCGACAGCTGACGGTGCGTCATCGACTGTCGAAGTCGAAGCGCTATCGCGCCATTTGGCATTCGTCGACATAAAATAAACGAAGCTTGGGATTTACTCGACATAAAATAGAAGCGCTGTCGCGCTGCTTGGGTCTTCTCGTACTCATTTAGAGAAAACACGGTCGCGCTGCTTGGGATTCCTCGACAGTGTTTTTTTCGAAACCCTCTGGGACTCAAACGGTTAACCCATTTGCATCCAAGCGCGGAATATTCCGCGAGCTGTGACTGTCGACTATCACCGAGCGCGGAATATTCCGCGAACCTGCGACTCTCTACTATCACCGAGCGCGGAATATTCCGCGAGCTCACGATGGTTGACTATCACCGAGCGCGGAATATTCCGCGAGCCTGCGACTCTCTACTATCACCGAGCACGGAATATTCCGCGAGCCCACGACTGTTGGCTATCACCGAGCGCGAAATATTCTGCGAGCCTGCGACTCTCTACTATCACCGAGCGCGGAATATTCCGCGAGCCCGCGACTGTTGGCTATCACCGAGCGCGGAATAATCCGCGAGCATTCGACTGTTTCTTATTACCATTTGCTAAATATTCTTCAGATGCGACAGACCACGTTTTAGTCGTCAGTTGAACGTCGCTGATGTTTCAGCGAGGCAGCTTAAGTAGAGTCATGATGCAAATGGGTTAAGAGAGAAGAGATCGTCTTACGCGTAGAACCAGCTCTCGATCTTCGTCATCCTGAAGAAGTATTCGAAGGCCGTGGAATTGGCCACGGTGGAATATTGGACTCGATACTGCTTCCTCAGGTCGTCCATGGACTCGATGTTCCTCTGCAATCTGTCCAGCGTCTCGTAGGCTGCCAGGTTGGCAGTGTAAGCGGCGACGATGACGAAGACGAACAGCCACCAGGTCGCGGCCACGATTTTGCCCGATAAGTTTTTCGGCATATCCCCACCACCTTGCGGGGTGATCGAAGTGAACGTGAACCAGAAGCACTCCTTGAACCAGCAGAATCGATCGTCCGCCTCGTCTCGATACTTCGCCCGATTGTTCTGGTAGCTAAAGGGCGAGTACCTCTCGAGAATATATAATAGAAATATCGTCAAGAGGAAAGCGAACGCAAAACCTATCCAGACCTCGATCTCCAGGATCATTAGGAACCTGAGGTAGGAGGTCTGCCTCTTTTTCTTCAGCATCATTATCGTGAAACCGCTTGGACCCTGGTACGGGATCGTGAAGTCTACGACCTGGACAGCGTGTTATTATTCCATTAAATCTACTGACAACGATTTTCCATGGGAAGAAAAACAACTATAAATACGGCTGATCGATAATACATTTCCCACGTAACTGGATTCGTAAATTGTACCCAATTTTTGAATAACAATTTATCAGATAGGCGCACAGTGGAGCCGATGCGCTAAAAAGTGACAAAAAGTGTCAAAATATCATTTAAGAAAAGTTTGGTTTTAAACAAAATTTCTTTTTCCAATAGTTAATTTGGACTATGGAGTATGATATAGTGCAATTTTTTTAAATATTCCATCATTTTTAACATTGATACGCGATTTTAACGCTAGAACTACCAACCCAGTGAAAATAACTGGTCCCAGAATTTTCCTTTTTGCAATCACCGAACACATACACCTGCTTTAAGAATAAAATTGCTATCAACTCGTATTAAGAAAGAACTGTAATCGATATATTCACTCATATTCATCGTACCGCTGAAATTACTATAATCTGTGCCCATTATCCATTAAAGATCGGTAGTTGTAGTGTTAAAGAGGTCGAGTTGCAATTACGCGAATGATACAACGAAATCTACCTAGTACATAAATTAATCAAAATTTCAAAGATCCACACGGTTAACCTTTTGCGACCGAGATCTTTTTCACTTGTAAAATAAAATATTTACAAAACGCGAGGTAACAAATATTCTGTTTAACGCAATTCCTGATTTCTGACTACTAATTCCCAACTAAAAGCGTGTCATCATTCCTCCGGTGACATTCGACCGCAAAGGGTTGGGATAAACAAACGTGTGTACTTTCTGTAAAAAATCGATTTCGGGACCCCCCTATATTTTTTGCACGTGCGTAATCCGAACCCGGAACAGCGCGACATTTCTCTGAAATTTAACGCTGCGTCATGCGAGGGTCTGCGGTGTACAAATATAAATGATACACGGTGTCTTTCTTACATCGATCGATAGTTTAATCCCCGTTTAACCCGGACTACCGTAAGAGGAAATGAAAAGGGACATTTTATATTAATACTTAGCCGACCGCACGCCCCAGAGCGAAATATACGGTTTCCATCACGCTCGAGGAACCCAAAATGCGCTGTCCACCGGGCATTTTTCGGAAATAACACGAACTGATTTTATGACTGATAGAAATTGACCGGTAACGGGTCGGAAGGGGGTCGGAAATACCGAATAAGTGTGAGAAGAGTCTTTATTTGGACAGCGCCACCCTACATAGAGATCTATACTGCTTCGAGGAAGCAGTCAGCCTATCAGTTTTCGAAGCAGGACTGAGTGACGCAATGGGTCCTCACAGGGCCTATAAAACCCTGGCTCAAGGGTTTGACGACACACTCTATCGATAATTCACCATCACGCATCTCGCAAGACTCAAGCCTCCTCATACTTGTCGCCAGGGAATAAAATATAATTCAAGTTTGAAGTCAAGTCTCTATAAACTCGATGCTTTTTACCACATAAGGGGCCTTAAAAATTGGTGAATTTTATTATACGCTGTGCTTTATAGAAGCAGTTCGTCAGTAATTACGAACAACTGCAAATGAAGGTAGTGTAAGTAATAACCGAAAACGAGAAACGCGTTGCTAAGGTCAAAATGGGAGATCTTCCAGCGAACAACTGCAAATGGAGGTAGTAATAACCGAAAACGAGAAACGCGTTGCTAAGGTCAAAATGGGAGATCTTCCCGATCAGTTGGGCACCGGCTTACTTTAAAATGGAGAGATCTCCCCGTTCGGTCGGCTAAGTGTTAAGACACTGCAAAAATCGATGGATACCTCCGCTCTGCTAGACGTGATCCATATCGGTCCCACGGCTATGTCCGACATGTTGTTCATTAACTCGTAGATCATACCGTTCCAGCGGCCAGTGTTCGGGTCCAAATCGCCGTACCGTCCATCGAGCGACTCCCTCAAGGTGTAATCGAAACCCACCAACGATCCGATGTGGTTCAAAAGATCGATGCAATATCCTTGGAAAGCTGCGGCGCTGTCGTTGTACATGACATAAGGCGGAGCGATTCCTGTTACCGCTCGATATACCGGTCTCCTTCCGTGGCTCATTTCTTACTTTTATCTGCTTTCTCTTGGCTTGGCCGCCGCTTTATGGCTCGAGATACAGGGATCTATCCAATTTCGGAGGAAGAACCAACGTCGCCCATTCTTTCCGAACTGTAACCTCGTGAAAATATCACAAGCTATCGCGATCACGTAGAATTATGTACCAACGTGGTACGTTGCTTCCAGTTATTAATACATCTACGTCGTAGATCGTTTTGGAAATTACCACGGAAATGCGAGAAATTGGCGAATTAATAAAGGAGTTATCTAGAAATAAACCTATATGACGAAGTTATTGAGGGATTGCGAGCAACGAAGGATTCTAAGAAAGGAATAATAAACTGTGGCATCGGTTTCGATTCACAATTAGGCGTTTAGAATGATGTCTGGTGTGCGAACGGATCGGTGACCACGTGCAAGGATTGTACGGATGAGATATTTATCACTGGGTCGAGTACAATGAACGAAAGTCTAGGAATGCGTCCGAGTGTCTGAAGTACCAGGCCCACCAAAGGCGAGGTTGCGTGGGAAATGAATGATCAACGAAGAGAGCTTGTGTATGAAAAGAGAGAGTTATTAAAGGGGTTATATCGCAAAGGAATAGTAGTCAGTGGAAACGGTGGAAAAATTGTATAGATCTTTATTGAACGGGCCTACGGTTAGAACTGGTCAGTTTAGGGCCACGCAAATCACACGACGTCCCCAGAAAACAGGAGGCAAAAGACACAACGCAGGGATAAGGATCTCCCCCACATCGCTAGGATGTAGAGTTTACTTTACTGCTTAGTTTTTATTATAACAAGAGTGTTATACTTTGACACATTGAGTGCGGTGTCGATTTTGCTATACTTTCTGCTCAGGCAGCAGCGAGTGAACATTAGTTTCACTCTGTCGTTTGGACTGTGAGAATTGTGGGATGGCACAAAAAGCAGTGGAGGCTAACAAAGTATTAAGAGTGATAGCAGAACGAATGGGTGTGCGGTCTTACTTCCAAGATCGTGTGTTTGAGAGTTAGAATCTAGAGAAACTTAGTGCAATATTTTAGTTAAATAAACCTGTTTTGTTATTAAAAAGAATTGCTGTTTATTACACTTGCAGATCTCTGTCTGCATAGGCTTAGTCCAGCAGAAAATCCTAATTATTGGAAAAAATTAGTAATCGTGTTTATAAATACAAGACTATCGAATAGAAACTAGCGGAAGCTTGATAAAACTGGGAAAGAAAGCGAGGAGAGAGCAGAGAGGACGAGTTTAAACTGCGAAAGTAGTAGTACGATTGGGTGTGCGGTCTTACTTCTAAGATCGTGTAATTGAGAGTTAGAATCGAGAGAAACTTAGTGCAATATTTTAGTTAAATAAACCTGTTTTGTTATTAAAAAGAATTGCTGTTTATTAGACTTGCAGATCTCTGTCTGCATAGGCTTAGTCCAGCAGAAAATCCTAATTATTGGAAAAAATTAGTAATCGTGTTTATAAATACAAGACTATCGAATAGAAACTAGCGGAAGCTTGATAAAACTGGGAAAGAAAGCGAGGAGAGAGCAGAGAGGACGAGTTTAAACTGCGAAAGTAGTAGTACGATTGGGTGTGCGGTCTTACTTCTAAGATCGTGTAATTGAGAATTAGAATCGAGAGAAACTTAGTGCAATATTTTAGTAAAATAAACCTGTTTTGTTATTAAAAAGAATTGCTGTTTATTAGACTTGCAGATCTCTGTCTGCATAGGCTTAGTCCAGCAGAAAATCCTAATTATTGGAAAAAATTAGTAATCGTGTTTATAAATACGAGACTATCGAATAGAAACTAGCGGAAGCTTGATAAAACTGGGAAAGAAAGCGAGGAGAGAGCAGAGAGGACGAGTTTAAACTGCGAAAGTAGTAGTACGATTGGGTGTGCGGGCTTACTTCTAAGAGCGTGTAATTGAGAATTAGAATCGAGAGAAACTTAGAGCAATATTTTAGTAAAATAAACCTGTTTTGTTATTAAAAAGAATTGCTGTTTATTAGACTTGCAGATCTCTGTCTGCATAGGCTTAGCCCAGCAGAAAATCCTAATTATTGGAAAAAATTAGTAATCGTATTTATAAATACGAGACTATCGAATAGAAACTAGTGGAAGCTTGATAAAACTGGGAAAGAAAGCGAGGAGAGAGCAGAGAGGACGAGTTTAAACTGCGAAAGTAGTAGTACGGAAGTGCCCCCGTGCGTCTGATAAGCGACGGACCAGTTCTACTTGCACGAGTCACTCGACCGAAGTAATTAACAGGCTAAATAAGCGGCGCTACTGTACGAAAGGGTAGCTGAAAACGATCTCGGGAGATGGCCGGAATTGTTACATTGAATTCGCAGAGTACACCTTAGTATTTACGACGGGAACATAAATGACAAAGTCCCGGGAAGTGGCTTTGAGTGTCCATTTCCGGACCAGCAGCTCGCTCAAACTTTCGCGTGCCGTCACAGAAACGTCTTTGAACGTCGGATCTTGAAGCAGAGGCGTTATTAATCTTCGTGGCTGAAGGTCTGCCACTATGCAGCGATCGCAATCGCGAACGACAAGCGACGCCATAAATTTCGCGGCTAAGACCGGTGCCATGGTTTTAGGTAATTAATGCAACCGCTGATGGATACGTGGTTAAATCTCCTTCTCCTGGGCTTTTATCCATGGACAAGCGAGTATGGCAGAATATTCATACGTTTTTCGCCACCGTTTGAATCGAAGAAATTTTACAAGCAGAACGGATCCGCGATTATTCTTTTAATATTATGAATTATTAACGAGGGGACGTGTAATGGCGATATTTATTCGACGAGCTGCGATGGCTTCGCTCATAAATTTTCAACTGGGAAGCTATATTTTTTAGTTGGTATTGAAATATGTTGAAATATTGGCAAAATATCGAGATGTATTGAAATATATGGAAAGACTGGAAAAATATCGCAATATTTATACAGTACTCGTAGTTTATATTTTTCGCATAAGCCATTGTCGAGATGTTAAGTTTCGAAGTGCGACACACCGTTAGGGTTAGTGTTACCCGTGTTCGCACTGTCAGACATCGCGTCGAGGGTTGTAGAAAAAGCAGTGACGCTGGAAATTTGAAAATACGAACACTTATATCTCTATTCGTTCGTGCAAGGGACTCGAGTGTCTTTCGAAATCGATTTAATCACGATTATAAAAATCTGCTATAAAGAATGTCCTTATTTAAAAATTATTAAAAATTCTCACACGACTGTACGTTTTGGTGTTTCTGGTTACCTGAGGATGAAATAAATATCGTCACGATACACGAGCGCCTGTCATCGTTCGTCCGAAATATTTTTCCGCGAGGAGCTATAATTCCCGAGATACGTACACGTTTTCCAGATAAATCGGGCATAGTGTATATCGTGTAAAAGACTGGCGAGAGATTTATAACCGGTTATAAAATAATGCACATCGAGTTGACCGAGGAAATCGCGTAACGAAAGCATGGGCGGCCTGCCGACCGGTAAATATCGATAGGGATAAGGGGGCACGGGTGGCCCCTAACGCGCGATGTAATTACGGATCTCATCGAGCCGCAAACCAGACCGATATTTATAGATCGATCGGTTATTAATTCGTCGGTAACCTTTTAGCAGGACCGATATCGGAATCGCGAATTTATTGCCGGTGGCAGCGTGCCGCAACAAAGGCGGACCAATTCGGCTTTGCCGGGGAATTAACGACGTAAATTTATCGTCGTTGCCGCCGAGGCTAGACTCGCCTCCCGTCGCTTTTTTCCCACCCCCGAAATATCCTCGTGTTTGCGCGCGACCCGCGTGCCCGCGATTAATAACCCCAAAAAACCATCGCGAGCCTCGAAAATTGGATTAAAAATTCTATCCGTCGGTTAAGGTTAGAAGGAGCGCGTGCGAGAACCGGTGGCTGTGCAGGCTACAGAAACAGAGGGACAACGAGGATAAAACGAGGAGTAGGAGGGAAAAAAGGCGAGGGAAACGTGGTCGGGCTTTTCCAGGCGAAGCAAACTTTAATTGCCGCGAGTCAGTGAATTCCGATAGAATAAATGAAAAACGCGGCACGCGGCTTAAAACGGCCGGGTCGTTTGATGTAATTCGATGTAATTCGCGGAGAAATTACCAACGATATCGTGCCGGGATTAAATCCGACTCCGGAACAGAGGTGAGCCGTGTTTCTTTCATAGCGCGGTAGAAAAATGACGCGGCTTCAAAATGGCCGCGAGAGTCTGCCGCCATTCTGACTTACCGAGTAGGGATCGTTTGTTTCCGGATCCGGGTCGTACCGACGCGTGAAATTCCTGTATAACAGGGTAACAGGAGTAGCTCGTACCCGCAAATTTTGTGGATCAGCCGTGGGAAGCCGCTGCGTCTGCCGGAAACTTTCGATGACTCGAGGAAGTCGCTCCGGTTCCGAAGAGGTGACTGTAAATCTTGGCGAGGTCTGATCCTCGGGCTCGCTTATGTTTCTATACTGGTTGCCTCGGCAATGACGCAGTGAAAGCTTACCCTCAACTTTCCCTCTACTTTCTCACCGCCTCTCTACCCCCTGCATTTTCTACCCCCTTTCTACCCCCTCCCTCGTTCTCCTCGTCGGTATCTCTGCTTGTCTCTCTGTCTCGTTCGCTGTTTTTTTTTCTTCCATTTTTTTTTTTTTTTACACAAAGTATTTCTTTCCCCAACAATGCCGGGCACTATAGTTAGGCGCCGTATTGTAAATCACCGGCGAGCTTTTTCCACGTATTCGCACGCAAATTGGGGCACCTTGACATGCATACACATAGATACGTTTGTTGCTTTCCATTCTTCGATTTTCCCGACGTATGATATTGTCTCCGTGGCTGTGCGTCTGTTCGGAGCACGTTGGACGAGAGTTGGCGAGAAAGAGAGGGAGGCAGACAGAGCGGGAGAGAGGAGGAGGGAGAAGTTACGAGCGAAAATGGAGTCCTTGACGAAGTGCCATCTCCTTTCTCCCTTCTCCTCCGCGAATGGATCTTCATTACCA